TTTCTCATAATAGTTTATTGTCTTATAAACAAATTTATCATTCAGTTTTATTTCTTTAAATAAATTTTTATACTACATTCTTTGGTTAGTAACTGTTATTTTCAACCTTGGCCTTGACAATAGTTACTTCGAAAAAGGGGTCTTAGATTTTTCTTGCACATTACAGAACGAGTTTACATAGAAAATTATAACTTTAAGTCTTTTTCTTTTATGTTGTTTATTTAGTGGTGTAGTAGTTAGCTTTTTTTATTAATTCCTTACTAACATTTCTTTAGTGATTAGTAGTGATATAATGAGTGCACTGGATAATGTCGAAACAACTTATATGGATTAAAACCACTCTCTCGTACGATTATTGAAATGAGGAATCTTTATAGAATAATTTTTGAGTATTTAGTAAGAGAAATTAAATATATTAAACCTTGGTTATTAAAGGATTTAACTGAACGCTTGGTAATAATTTCTTTTGGTCATTCCCTCTCCTTTGAGATTACTTCTTCAGACTTCTAATCACTTTATTCTTTAGAATAGTCAAGTATTTATTAGAGAAGGATAAGGTAGAAGCAATTAGAAGACTAAAAAAATTTATTACACTAAGAAAATTCTATATTTAAAATATTTAAAAGCTTAAGGAAATGAAGGAATAGTATTAACATTAATACTTTATAATATTATTACAGTTACATATTGTCAGAAGTATTTTTTTAAGGATTGTTCAAGAATTGAATGAATTACTCTTTGATAAAAGAAATAAACTTTTATACTTGATTTTTTTTTTGCTAATTTTTTAATGTCTCGTATGACACACCGAGATAAAATCTCCATCTAAAATTAGTATTTAAAGTATGGGTGATTTGATTGGATGTTGTTGTGAACTTTTCTGTGATATTTGTTTAGTGCCTCTATGTAAAGAGCTCGGTTGCTTTGACTGGTGTTGTGATTGTTGCTGTGATTGTTGTGACTGTGGTGATTGTTGTAGTGATAAAAAAAGCGATAAGAAGAGTTCTCAGTCTGATGATGATGAAGAAAATGAAAAGAAAAACAAACACACAGATAATCAGAACAATCAAAGTAACCAACAAGAATTACAGCAAACACCTACTAACCAACCAAATTATGGCTATGAAAATTCCCAACAAAATTATTGTTATCCACAACAGCCGTACCAAGGATACATTGGTCAAAGTCAATACATCCAACCACCTCCTGAACAATATATTCAGCCACCTCCTGACCAATGCGTACCACTACCTCAACAGCCTTATTATATACAAACAACACCACCACAAGGAGTAGTACCACCACAAGGAGTAGTACCACCACAAGGAGTAGTACCACCACAAGGAGTAGTACCACCACAAGGAGTAGTACCACCACAAGGAGTAGTACCACCACAAGGAGTAGTACCACCACAAGGAGTAGTACCACCACAAGGAGTAGTACCACCACAAGGAGTAGTACCATCACAAGGAGTAGTACCACCACAAGGAGTAGTACCACCACAAGGAGTAGTACCACCACAACAAGAACCTTACTATGCACAACCACAACAGCCTTACAATGCACCACCACAACAGCCTTACAATGCACCACCACAACAGCCTTACAACCCACCACCACAACAATAATAAAATAAATTGATACAGTATTTTATTGGTTATAGTTATTATAAAATACTCACACAATAAATTGTTGTCAGCACATTATTTATAAGTCAGATAAAAGAATTTTCAAGTAATAAAATTTCGTTCATAATTTGCTGATTAGTTTATACCTTCACTAACTATTAAAGTGAATATGTCCTCTTACCAAAGTTTACCTAAACCCTTTTTCTAAAACAGAATAGAACGAAGTAAGAAACTAGTTAGTTAAGCAAGTAATAATTTAATAAATAGTGTTTATCTATTCTGGGTTATTGTTTTATAAAGTAAGAAAGTCTTGTACGTACTAATATTGTTGGTACAGTAAAGTTATATTTTAGCTATATTCAAACAGAGTGTATGTAAACTCTTAGATGAAACAGAAGGCTATAACTTTTCTTTTATTTTCGCTGTTTTATGTCTAAAATAACACCTTTTATCCTTACTGATTAAGAGTAACTACTAAACAATTACTATTAAAAACAAATGACTAATTCAAAATATATGACCTACAAAATGGTGGAGGAATTACATATGGACTGTTCTTCAAAAAAACACTCTTAAGTGATCTAATTGACTTTAAATTGATATACTTTGCTGAATGAAATAACGCTAATATTTGAATACTATTTGATTGAATAATATCATCTTGAATATTCCAAATACTTAGTTGGTGGAGATAATGGTATTCATTCAAATTAAGACAATGACACAGATTCTTATTCCAAGATGATTGAATCAAACTAAGTTGAAAGATAAGTATTAATGGAAAAATAATAGAGATTCTGTGTGTATTAAAATACAACCACAGTGTTATTAATATAAATAAATACACAATAAACATAATAATACTTGATTGAAGCCAACGAGAAGAATGAAATGAATCATTCAAATTTATGATAATCATTTCTTCTACATTTAAACAATGAGGAAGTTGTTCCCTTTGACAATACAACCGTTTCAATGAAGATGGATAGAATTCATTAATAGGGACATTGATATAACATTCCATTAGAATAAGTTGTGTTAATTGATTAAGACATTTCAGTGAATGGTTTAATTCACTGTTATTGAGTTGCAAAGTTTTTAGTTGATTTGAGTTAAAAGGAGCATAGTTTGGTATGAAATGATAGTGATCAACAAATCCATTTAATGTTAGTGATGTGATTGATTGTTCAATTGATTGGTTAGTATCACAGTAATTGATTTTTAATTCCTTTAAATGACATTCAGGTGGATAATATTCTCCTTCGAAATATTCCATGTCTTTTGGTAATACTAGTTGTTGTGGGGTGTTACAATTGATAAGTCTCTTTACCATTTTATAGCTTTCAAAGTGAAGAATCTGATCATTTCTAGGTGAATTCAGAATGACAATGTAAGTAAACAAATACATGTTATATAACATTCTTAAAGAAATACTATCATGAAATCCAACCATTCTCATTAATCCATTTTCTTGTTTCATAACTATTTCATTAGAGTAATATGGCTCACTAAAATAGTTAAAACAAATAGTCAAATGAGGAATCTTATTATACTTTTTGAGATGATTCTTTTCACCCTTTAGTAATATCACAATTTCATTAGCAATAGTGTTTTGTTCAAAACCATTTAAAATGATATCTAAATCATCATAACTTATCACAAAAAGAAAGTCTAGTTTATCTTTTCGTTTCATCCAGTCTATCAATCGTATTCCTTTTGGCAAATAGCCTTTGACTTTGGTTACTAAAGACATTGAACTAATTTCTGGAAGATAACAAGTAGTTGAATATTCTATAGTTTGTTGAAGAACTTGGATAGGGACATTGTCTTGTATTATTTTCCCATTAAGTATGAAATGTTTTGAAGAAAACGAAGGAATTAAATCAATAAATTGAAGAGTAATTTCATTAAGTTCAATAATAGGGGAATTATGAAATAATTTCATTTTAATTCTAAAATCATCATAAATTTTAGAATCAGTTTGGAAAATATCATAATTTAAAAGGTTGATAATGATAATAAGAAGAAAAAGAAATACCTTTCCACATTTTTTACTGACCAATTGAAAGATAATAAGTCATTAATATTAAAT